TTTATTAGGTAATCTAAATGTTTATTTTGAATAATCATTGTATACTAAGACATAAAATATATTAATTAATAAACTAATTAGTGTTGTATTAAACTTAAATTTAAACTTCTTAGTTATTTATTTAGGAAGAACAAAAGAAAAAATAATGATGTTGAATCATTTGTTGTTCCTAAAAATAAATTATAATTTAAAGATTTATTAATATTAACACCTTTTTTAATTATAATTGGCAATATTGAAATTTAATTTACACTTATTTGTTTTAATAATTAAAGAGAATAAATGCGAATATCATTCTATTGATTTAATACATAGCACTTCAAATTCAATATTAAGTAAATCATCAACGTTTAACTATATGAATATTTTATTTTATAAAAATAATATTAAACATTAAGTATAATTAGAAGAAAATTTTTAATATTAGATATCAATCTAGTCTAGCTTTTTAATGACCTTACTTACTCTTATGAACAGGATGATTCACATTTTGAAATTGATGATTCAATTTAATAAAAAAAACTATGGTTTTTTCTTATGTCCAATATTAATACCTTTTCAATATACGTTATTGATAAATGTTACTAAGAAGAAGAAGTTAAAATAAAATATATCATCTTAAGGCTTTCGATACTATGAAAATTAATATGGTTAAAAATATTTGTAAGTGAGGTAAAAGTTATCCTTTTTGATTCTTTGAAATAAATTTATCAAGAATTTTAGATTTATATTCTTATTACTTAATACCATGAGGCATTCAATAAAAAATAAAGATGGGAAATTTTAACAATAATAATGAAAACATTATGAAATTTTGAGACAATATGATAGAAGTTATTTCTAGAAAAGAGAATTTGTATGAATTAAAATAATGATGGAATTATTGAATAATTGACCATGAGAAGAAGCCTATAAATGGACAAATTTTATAAATACATTTTTTTTCTAAATGAAGAAAATTTAGCTTATAAATTTAGGAAAGTATAATCATAATTTTTGAAATTTCATGTATAAAAGTTAAAATCTGAGACTATTTTGAATTGAAAATATGATATTATTTTTGAAAGATAATCTTTAAGAAACTTGAGCATAAATTTACAAAAACTATGGAGCTTTTGAAAAGTATGAAAAAATGATGAGGTAGATAAATTATAAATTTTGGAGGATGCTCATTATATAATGGAACTGCAGTATAGTATAGCTCGAAATGATGGTTAAAGCAACTGAGATAACAAACATGAACTATAATCTCATAAAGATTTTGTCAAATATTTCGAAAGAGTTCTTAATTACTTAATACTTATTCATATGGATAAATTTCAATAAAAAAAGTATCTAATAAAAATAAAAAATGAAATAGAAAAAAATCTTAAAAAAAAGAAATTTAATTAAATGATCTGATTAATTGAAAAAGATAACAACAGTTAAAGACGTGACCTTACTTGCAATTTAAAAAAATAAAAAAGATTTTAAAAGAAGTAAGAGAAGTAAGAGAAGGAGAAGCACTTATTTAAATTTTGAAAATAATCATTTAAATTAATTAATATATACATCAAAATTTTTATATATCAACTTTATCTGGATGATTTCATATGAAATATATTTTTTTCAAAACTCAAACAGAAAAAAACCCCCTTTTCTCTTCACTAAGATGGGGATTGTTTTTTCCTCATGTTGCAGACTCAAAACCAAAAATTAATTATTAGATGTATTTATGATATTAAAAGAAATAAAACTGATATTTGTAAAGAGTAGAAAGAAATTTATTCAGAGTAAAACTAAATTAATAAAGTACAATCATTTTAAATGTAGCGAGTTTTAAGGCCGGAATAATATGGGAAATTATAAATGGAAAAAAAATCAGGATTTGCGCTGATAATAAATAAATAATTTTTAAAGCATAAATAATTTCTATTTTTTAGACCACAAAAAATATATGATAAAAAAGAATTAAGAATGGAAAGTAGATGGAGTAATTTGAAAATTGTAATAAGTAGAATATTATTCTATGAAAAACGGATTGTCATTTATTTTGGGTTGGAAGTTATTGCAAAATATAAAATAAGTAAAATGGAATATTATCTAAAAGACTTAAGAATAATATAAAGAGGATATGATTTTAATTTACTATATTATAATTAGTTGTGGTGGTATTATTAAAGGTTTTTCCATTTATGTTCCAAAAAGCATATAAAATTCAATTTTAAGGAATCTTAATTGTTATTTAAATTTTCAAATTAATTTAAACAAAATTGTTGGATAGAGAACAATTATAATGTACTAGGTGTAAAAGATGGTTAATGGATTGAAATAAATCAAAAATTTTTAAAGTAGGATATTAAAATGTATGAAAAATTGGAAATTGGATAATATTGCATAAAAACTTTTATGAAATCTAATAATATTCAAGTAGTTGCTAAATTTATTACAAATTTGTTCATATGAAAATTTAACTTGATTGGGAAATTAAAAGAAAAAGGAATCATTTATAGTTTTCGAATAAAAATTCATAGAAAACAGATATGGACAAAGGGATATAAACAGCCGTATTAGTGTTTTTGGTTCCTTGATTTTGATGTTACTTTCATCTAAGCCCATAAGTGCTCAATTGGATTCCTTCCAAATTTAGATTGTTAATTTACAAAATATTTCTTTAAAACCTTTATTTGAGGACTAAATTAGTTTTCCTGCTTTTATATTAAATGTAATTACTAATTTCTCAAAGATATCTTTCTATAAACTTATTGATTTTTGTTTTTATACTATCTTATTTTCTTAAGTTTAGGTAAATAATTTATTATATTCTGTAATTCATTATATTTGAAACAATTACTTTTATATAGAGTGAACTTTTAAATAAAAAGCAACAAATAACACAGTTCAAATATAAAGTCTTAAAAATCAGATCTTAATCAAAATTAAAGAAAATTTATTGGAATTAAATAATCAATTTAAACTTACTAAGAAATCATGCTGTATCATTGAAAAAAATCTATAAAAACACCATGTATTATTAGAAAATTAATAAGATACAAAAAATTATTCTGAAAATGGATTTCAAGAATAATATTGAAATAATAGTTTATAAATAAATATTCAAATTCTACGGAAAACTAGTAGATTTAGATTTTCGAGAAAAATAAGAAATATTTTTTTTGATGGAATAACAGGGTATCGTTAGATTAAAAGAAAATAATAAAAATAAAGAAATCAAAAGAATTAATTATTCTATATTATATATGAACCAGGCTTTATAAATGTTGATATTCAATCTCAAAAGTCGATTAGAGTTCAATTCCTCTCAACTCCAAATCCTAACACAATATGTCTTATTCTTGAAAAAAATAAATAAAGATTCATTTTTTTGATTTTTAGTTTATAACCTAATTTAAAGTAATAGAATTCAATAATTTATTAAAAAGAAAATGAATTGCCCTCATCATGAACAAAATCCCATCAATTTGGTATGCCTGGCCCCTCATAATTGTTAATGCTCAAGGAAACTGTGTATTGAGTGCCTTAATTAACATGGGGTCCATGTTTAATATATAGTGACAAACAGTTAATTACAAAAAAGGCTTATCAATAAATTGGTAGAATACGAGCTTCATGAGAAATAAACAGTTGAAAAAAAGAAAACATAATTTACAAATTTGCTTTCTAGAACTAAGGGTAGTCTGGAGAAAATTTTGGAGGAATAATCAGAATCACTTGAATAAATATACTGTACCATTGAAATTTACAACCAATCTTTTCATGATCTTATCCATGAAGGTGATAATTTAGCAGAACTCCCATAAACCAAACTAGAACAATTAGTATAAATTCTAGAAGGAACATCATTAGAGAAATGGAAGTAGGTGAAAAATTCCTATTTGATGAAATTGTAAAGTGTAAAAAAATAGTGGAATAAGGATAGAAAGGATTTTATAAAAAAGTAGAAGAAAATTAAAAAAGTGTTTGAGGCATTAATGAAGTCAATAAACTTGCAAGAAGAAGTTTTTGAAGAGAAAAAAGAATGTTATGATCTTTTAGCTTCCTTAAATGATATTGATGTGCGAATATTCAATATAATAATTGAAAAGGCAAGATAAGCTGGAATTTCTGATATTCTGGTATTTCTATCAAATGAATAAAATCAATAACTTTTAGAAGAACTCGCTAGAGAAAGAGATATAAATTTAGGAAGAAATAACATTAATAAAATCATTGATGTTATCAGAAATATTAAAAAACATGACTTTAATTAAAATAATTATTCTACCGAAATCCATTTAAATAGTAAAATGAATCTCACACAAAAAATATCACAAGATTAGAAAATTATTTAATTTTTAATATTTTTAGTTCGCCTGACAGGAATAGATAATTAATTCATCTAATGTGGCTCAAATTCACTCAATATACTAGTTGAAATGAAGGTTGATCTGACATTACAGTTTTTTTAAAATGTTAGGATTTAAAATACTTCTTTGATTGGAGGGAATTTCGTTAGATGTAATTTTAATGAATCTGAATTTGAAAATGTAGATATTAGTGGAATAAATTTGAATGGGGCTAAATTATTGAACTGCAAATGGAAAAATTTAAGAATTTAAGAGTCACTTCAATTAGAGGGTCATAGTGATTAAGTGGTTACTGTATGTTTCTCTCCTAATGGTACTACATTAGCATCTGGTAGTGAAGATAAGTCTATTCGTTTATGGGATGTTAAGACAGGACAATAAAAATTTAAATTAGATGGACACTCTCATGCTGTACTTTCACTATGCTTCTCTCCTGATGAAACTACATTAGCATCTGGTAGTGAAGATAAATCTATTCGTTTATGGGATGTTAAGACAGGACAATTAAAATTTAAATTAGATGGACACACTCATGCTGTACTTTCACTATGCTTCTCTCCTGATGAAACCACATTAGCATCTGGTAGTGAAGATAAGTCTATTCGTTTATGGGATGTTGAGACAGGACAATAAAAATTTAAATTAGATGGACATAATGATTCTGTTCAATCGGTATGCTTCTCTTCTGATGGTACTAAACTAGCATCTGGTAGTTTAGATAAGTCTATCCGCATATGGAATGTTGAGTTAGGACAAGTAAAAGCAAAATTGAATGGTCACAAGGATTCAGTTCTATCAGTATGCTTTTCTCCTGATGATACTGCATTAGCGTCTGGTAGTTGTGATAAAGAAATATTTTTATGGGATGTTAAAACAGGAAAACGAATGAAATAATTCTTTGGTCATACTCATTTTATATAATCAATATGCTTTTCTCCTAACGGTACAACATTAGCATCTGGTAGTGTGGATAAGTCTATCCGTTTATGGGATGTCAAAACAGGATAATAAAAAGCCAAATTTGATAGTCATAGTGGTACTGTATACTCCGTCTGCTTCTCTCCTGATGGAAATACATTAGCTTCTGGTAGTAGTGATATGTCTATCCGTTTATGGGATATTCAGACAAGTAATGAAATTTTACCTTCCAATAATAATCATACAGGTATTCTAGGAAGTAATTATTTTAATTATTTTAGCTGACACTTTTATTACAATTCTTGTTATATCCCAAAATCCAAAAATTTAAGCATAAGGAGCTCAAGTTTCAAACGGAGAATTCACAAATAATTAAGGTGTTGATATAAGACCTTTACTAGAATGATTAGTCTTAAATTCAAAGTATTGCAATAACATTAAAAATATTACAATTAACATTATATTTCCTATATTTTTCTATCTATTTAATTTTAATTTATTTTCTGCTTCAATAAGATAATGAGAGAAAACTCAATTGAAATTTAAAATAATTGAATCAGAAAATATTAGAAATCATATTTATATTTTAAACCATTTATTAAACCTATGTATTTTGTACTTCTTAATTAAGAATAGGGATAAACTAACAAGATATAGCAAATAGGATAATGTTTAATTTACTATTCTATAGAATATAAAATAAATAGGGATTTTTTTTACCATATTAAGCTTAATTTATATTATTGAAAAAGATGAAAGTAAAGACTTTTAAGGATAATAGAAAGTAATTTTCGATGATGATAAAGTTGTCTATATATCATTTTTTAAGATACTTAACAAAAATTTAAATGATTTACTTTTGAAAGTGAATTTGGATCTAATTCTCTCAATTTTGTATAGTTTTCAAAAATGTTATAAAAAATTGTAAATTTTTCATTATATTTAGTACCTTCTCTAATAGAAACCTTTTTATTCGAAAGAAGAAAATCTTTTCTAGTAAACAGCTAAAACAGCATAGTTATCAAGATAGTGCACTTTGAATTTTGGAATTATCTAAAATTAATTAAATAGAATCCTGCATACTTTTAGAAAACTGTTGTCAGAGCGTTCTAAAAGCAACAGATCTTTCTTCATGCTTTATTTCCATAGAAATATAATCATATTTTAAATACTTAAGTGAAATAATTGTAAATATATTTTGAAATTTAATGATAGATTCTATTGTAAAATTCTATTTCTTAATTTAAAGTTTTTTTGTTTAATATATGAATTAAATAAGATAATTTACGACCTCGATAATCCAGGAAAAAAAAGTAAATGCTTATAATCACTGACTATGGCAGATTCAACCAAAAATTATTCATTGGAATACCATTAAATTCTAATTAACTTAAGAAATTAAAAAAGCCTTTACTTATTAGTATACAAAACCATCTCTCAAACATAAATCTTAAAAGTGAAAATGTATTTTTTTTTAATTGTATAGAAAGGATGATATGAAAATGTTGATCATACATTTGTACCCTTTAATAAATGGTGTGTGGAAGGTGGAGATGCAAGGATATTTTATATTTTTATTTAATATGATTTCTTTCATCTTCACTTACAAAAATAATTAGATCTTATATGCTAATTACAATTAAAAATAATAAACTTTGATCCAAACATTTGATTATAGTTTTATTTACTTTCTTATAGTATCCATATCAATACCAGTTATAAATAAATTAGAATGTTCAATAAAATTCAATGAAAAACATTTTTTTTAATTTTCAATAAACTAAAAAAATTCTCAATTCGAATATATAAATTACTATTAATACTATTGTTGCTTATATTATACTTATAATTTAATTCCTCCTAGTTTTTATATTTTATATCTATTTCTACTCATCAATCAACTTTCTTACCATTTTATTTTCATCTTTATTAATTACTTAACTTCATCCAAATCAATCCACTTCACCTATCGTAATTCTTTCATCATATAACCCATTAATTTATTTCTCTCATACC